CCCTCGCACTAGCGAGAGTGCAGTGGAGACGGCTCAAAAACAGGACAGTGGCCTGGGAATGTAGCTCGGAACAGTGCTTGCTTAAAGAGCCCTGAGTTGACCCCATGGTACCAAAACACTGTAATTCCAGTATCAGGGGAAGTAGAAGCTGGAGAATCAGAAGTCCAAGATCACCCTCAGCTACAGTACACTCAAGGACAGTCTACCAGACAAAACCCTGGAGGTGCCAGTCTGACAGAGTTGTAAAGGTGTGGGGTGGGGCAGGAGGCAGAACCAGCCCCAGTGTGCACTGACTCAGCTGCATCAGCCTGTGGGTTTGGGAGTCCCGGAGAGCTCCACCTTCCTTTCCAGCATTAGTGGGAAGTGTGCACGCGATAAGGCAGTTCCTGTGAGACGGAGCTTGCCTTGTGGTGCTGGCACTAACAACATTGCTGCTTTTGCTATATCCGTTACTGACACAGAAATGGCAAGCTTGTGGAGTAGATTGTTCTAACTATGACTTGCATGTCTACAACCCTGTAATTCTATTCCTGAGCAAATAACCAAGAAAAACATGTATGCATCCCAAAAGACAAACAAATATTCCCAGCAGCACTACCCTCCCAAACCCCAAAGCAACTAAACCAACGACCCACAGTTATCAGTGTTGATGACAGCAACATCAGGTCCATGCTTCAGGACCCACTCATCCAGAATGTTCTGCACAAGAACCCAAACCAGAGTGAAACTGATGCCACTGCAGAGATGTCAGAGTGGAGTGAGTAGCAAGGCCATCGTGGAAGAGAACACAGCGAGAAACGTGGTGCTGACCGGCTAGGAAGCCAGTCCTGTGATCAGGTGTTTCATGTGTCTGCACATTCTAGAGAAAGCATTGAGCTCTGCAGTTAACATCGTACATTCAAAGTGTGACTAATAACAAAATGTCAAAAGACAATTTTCCCAACAGACAATTATACTGACAAGAGCACAACCCTAACATGTATCTGATAAAAACAAACAAACCAGTCAAACAGTGAAAGCACTTCCTCCCACATCTTTGGTCCCAGAACTGTCAGGCTTTGAGTGACACCCTGTGTGAAGGTCTGGATGAGAATGTCCCCCACAGGCTCATATGCTTGAATCCTCAGTCCCCAGGTAGCAGAACTGTTTGGGAAGAATTAGTTGGTGTGGCTTTGTAGGAGGAGGTAAGAGGTTTTGCAGAACAGGGTAGGCTTTGAGGTTTCAAAAGCCCACAGTTTCTCTCATTCTCCCTCTGCCTACAGCCTGCAAACCAGGATGTAAAGCTCTCAGCCAATGCTCCAGCACCATGACTATTTCCTGTCATGATGATCATGAACTAACCTTCTAAAACCGTAAGCAAGCCCCAATTAAATGCTTTTTTTCTAAGAGTTGCCTTGGTCACGGTGTCTTTTCACAGCAATGTATGACAGTAATTAAGAACCTTAAATATAGAAAACTGGACAGTTAAGAAAAAAATCCTATACTACCCACCATTTAATTCTGGTTGCCACCATTAAACAAGTCATCACAAAACCATCTGGTAAGACGTGGAGCAAAGCCCTAATGAACTACAGTCGAGGCCCCAACCCCTGCTCAGTTGCCCATGTGACTCCTGTGCACTGTGGGGCTCACACTCACTGCCACAGGCATCTGAGGCTTTTAAATGAATACTACTGTCATTTCTTAGACTGAAGGTACAGGATGAACTCACTGTCCCTTAAAAGCCAAGTAGCCCTGAAAACGGCTATGGAACAGGCTATTTCAATGTTAGGAACATTGAAGCTACTGTCTCTAAACCACTGGACAGCAAGCACCAAGCTCAGGCTTCAACTACAGCACTCAAGAGGTAGAGGCAGGAAGATCAAAAGCTCAAGGCCAGGGATGGGGCAATGGCTCAGTCAGTAAAGAAAGCATTTGTCCTGAAAGCATGAGGACATATGCCTGTGACCCCAGAGAAGGTGAGAAGAGAAAGAAACAGACACTGTAGGATCCCTTTCTTCTCTCTCTCTCTCTCTCTCTCTCTCTCTCTCACACACACACACACACACACACACACAGAAAGAGAGAGAGAGAGATATTGATGCCAGTCTGAGTGACACAGTAACACCGTCATGGGGCTGGAGAGATGGCTCAGACATCAAGAGCACTGGCTGCTCTTCCAGAGGTCCTGAGTTCAATTCCCAGCAACCACATGGTGGCTCACAACCATCTATAATGAAATCTGGTGCCCTCTTCTGGTGTGCAGGCATGTATATATAATAAATAAATCTTTTTTTTTTTTAAAGCAAAGTCTGCTCTTCTAGAGGACCCGAGTTCAATGCCTAGCACCCATGTCAGGTGGCTCAACCTCCCGTAACTCCAGTCACATGACTTACTGTCTCTTTAGTCCACAGGTGTCACCAACTGGGATGTTGGTTGCTGCTCAAAAGAGCCCCTAACAGTACCTAATGAGGAGCTTCTGAAAAGGCGGGAGTCCAGGGACAGGACACGGGTCAAGCTTTTGCCAACTCCATAGGAAATGTAAGGCTCGCTATGCCTGGACTTTCCCCCTAGGTAGACCCCTTCCGTTTTAGGACACTTTATTTCTGTTTTGGGGATGCTGTTGGCATGTGAGGCCTGGAAAGTCTTGTGTATGGGATTTAGGGTCTATCTTAGTTGGGGTTTATTTGGCTTACACTTTCATATTGTAGTCCATCACTGCAGGAAGTCAGGACATGAACCTGAGGACAGGAGCTGATGCAGACGCCATGGAGGGGTGCTGATTACTGGCTTGTTCAGACTGCTTTCTTTTTTTTTTTTATTTTTCTTTTTTTTTATTTTTTTTATTTATTATTTTTTTTATTTTAAATTTATTTATTTATTAAAGATTTCTGTCTCTTCCCAGCCACCGCCTCCCATTTCCCTCCCCCTCCCCTAATTAAGTCCCCCCCCCAGCCCGAAAAGCAATCAGGGTTCCCTGTCCTGTGGGAAGTCCAGGGAACCCCCCACCTCCATCCAGGTCTAGTAAGTTGAGCATCCAAACTGCCTAGGCTCCCACAAAGCCAGTACGTGCAGTAGGATCAGAAACCCATTGCCATTGTTCTTGAGTTCTCAGTAGTCCTCATTGTCCGTTATGTTCAGAGAGTCCGGTTTTGTCCCAGGCTTTTCCAGACCCAGGCCAGCTGGTCTTGGTGAGTTCCCAGTAGAACATCCCCATTGTTTCAGTGTGTGGGTGCACCCCTCATGGAAACAGAGAGGGAAATTAGAGAAGCATCACCTTTCACGATAGCCACAAATAGCATAAAATATCTTGGAGTAACTCTGACCAAGGATGTGAAAGATCTATTTGACAAGAACTTTAAGTCTTTGAAGAAAGAAATTGAAGAGGACACCAGAAAATGGAAAGATCTTCCTTGCTCCTGGATTGGGAGGATCAACATAGTAAAAATGGCAATTCTACCAAAAGCAATCTATAGATTCAATCAGACTGCTTTCTTATAGAAGACCAGCAGCCCAAGAGTGTTCCCACCCACAGTAAGCTGGGCCCTCCCCCATCAATCACTCATTAAGAAAATGCCCTACAGGTTTGCCTACCGCTTAATCCTATGGAGGTATTTCCTCAACTGAGGCTCATTCCTCTTCTTAACTCTAGCTTGTGTCAAGTTGACATAAAACTATGCAGCTGCAGCTGAGACTATCTTAACCTCCACAGATTCTCAAACATTAGACATGGCCCTCCTTCCCTGGGTTGCTGATTTAGCAGGTCTGAGAGGACCCAGGAACCCACAAATCACTAAAGCCTCAAAGGAGGCCAGCTCAAACTTCACCTGGACAAGTCAAAACACAGGGATCCACACAACCCCCAGAATGTATCAGCTGGGGTAGTCCCAGGGAGACTGCAGAAAATGCTGCCTTTGAGAGCCTTCCTTAGGCATATACCTGATATCGTGGCCACTTTAGAATCAAGGCGGAGCACAAGACAGGACGCTTGATTTAAAGGGGAACGGATTGAAACTCAAAATAAAAGCTACTAGTGTCATTTAAACAAAACTGTCCATTGCATAACATTATCCATTTTTTTAAAATAATATATATATATATATATATATATATATATATATATGTCTGCATAAGGGTTGCACTCGTATGCAAATGCCCCCGGAAGCCAGACACATCAGATCTCCAGAAACTAGAGACACAGGAGGTTGTGAGTCACCTGACACAGGTACTAACTAGGAACCCAACTCTGGATAGACAAGCAGTCTGCCCGCTCTTAACTACCGAGCCATCTCTCCAGTTCTAGCCCATCATTGCTCTATACAACTTCCACTTACAGGAAAGTATTCCCTACTGGAATGCTGTGGAAATTTTCTTTTAACCTGGTTTGAATGAGGCCATTAAAGCCTTCCATTCTGGCCTAACTCTTAACCTGGGAGCCACGGATCCTTGTCAGGGGGTCTTGATTTGATTCTCCCAACTTGGTAAAAGATGCTGGCATAAAAGCCTCCTGATTCTCCGAGGCTGCCCTCCAAAAGGTAAGAACCTCCTAAGGATATTAACCAAAGGATTCTTCTTCGTCGTGGTACTTTCGTTTCTTCTAAATGAAGTTTTGTTGGATTTGTTTGTTTTGTTTTAGTAACACGGGAAGTAAGGAAAATCAAATAATATAGGAAGGGGAGACTATTAAGTCTGTCCTGTGCTTTTTCCGAATCTTCTTCTAAAGTCAATCTTACAACTTTAAGGATGTTTCCAGGGCAGGATTTCTCAAGCTCACATGTAGTCACTTTGTGGGACGAATCTCTTTTTGGGAACTCTGTTCTGAGCATTGCTTGTTCGAAACAATCCTCTACCCTCTTGCAAGCCCAAATGCACGCACACACCTACTGTCAACACCCAAAATTGTTTGCAGGCAAAACTCCCAGGGGCGCCCTGGGTGTACAGGGTCCCTGCTGTGACCGCGTCGGCACCTCCTTGGGGGGGGGGGGGGGCACAGGGAAAGTCATCTTGCCCTGGCCACTCACCAAGTCGCGGATGAGCTGGTCCACCAGCGGCTCAGGCTCCTCGGCATCGCGGTCCGGGGGCGAGCGAGAGCGGCTGCTCGCGTCCCTCCTGTCGGCACGGCCGGGTCTGGGAGCCGGGGGTCGGCCCGCACCCTCCAGTAGACCCTGCGCCAGCGCCAGATACCCCGAGGCCTGCTCACCGCGCGCCCCCGCCTCGGGTCTCCGCGGCCGCCGCTCCCCGGCCTCGAGCCGCCGCCGCCGCCTCAGCGCCTGCGACTGGGCCAACTCCTCCTGCCAGCGCCGACGGAATTCCTCCAGGCCGTGGTCGTCCATGCTTGACGCTCCCGGGCCTACGCGTCACCCACGGGCCGCCAGCTGTTAGCGGACCGTCCATCCGCAGGAAGTGTCCGCCGCTGGCCGGAAACTTCCGGGAATGTGGCTCTTAGGTTCCGGGCGGCCACGCCCCTCCGCTCTGGCATCCCTGGGTTTTTGTCACCTTTGCACCAAAGAAGCACTTTTCCTTCGTCCAGCAAACCTGCTTTAAATGACTGCTATATACATATTGCAAAGATAGCATTTATTTTTTAAGTACTTTTTTTTGTAGTGTGTGTGTGTGTGTGTGTGTGTGTGTGTGTGGTGTATGTGTGGAGAGAAAGACTCGGAGGCGTCGGTTCTTTCCACCATGTGGGCCGCAGGGATCGAACTCAAGTCGTCAGTCTTGGTAGTAAGCATCCTTTTCTGCCAAGCCAGTTCAACTTGAAGTAAGCATTAAGATTTACACACAACACACCCAGATTCAAGTAAAACGGAGGTAAATATATATATATATATGTGAATGTCTGAATCTATGGGAAAGGTTATGTAGAAAAATAAGAATTAACAAAGTGATTGACACAGGAAGGGGCCAATTAGTGATTAAGGATAGGCATGAAGTCCTGGGCTCTCTAAAGAGATGTCATTTAAGCTAATACTGGCTAATAAAGAGAAAAATCAGCCACAGAAAATCATCAGAGATTTCCAGAACCACACGTCTAAAGGCAGTAAGGTGGAGAAGTATCTGTGAAGGAAATTTCTGGAAAGAAACCCCACTTCCCACTGAATCTTCCACTAAAGGTTGATTAGCTGGTCAGAACCTCAGTGAGTGTGGGGAGGTTGGAATGTTGCGAGTCTAGAGCCTAATCATTGTTTGTCTTGGGCTATCATCAGCCCTCTTCTTAGCCATTCCTCTCTCACCTCTGGGTCTAGACTGTCAGGTGAAACCTTTTGATATATTAGCTTAGCTCCTATCTTCTCCCAACCCCAAAGATCAGAATGTCACCAGATAGCATCCCCACATTGCTGCAACCAGCTACCTGATATTTCCAACAATGTATGTTAAATGTGTCTTGATTTTTTTTTTTACATATTTTCTTTGTTCTTTTCATGAAACCTCTACCACATTGGAGCATAGAGTTTGGGTGACCTAAAGGGTCAGTTTATATTTTGACAACATGATGTTAATGTGGACCAAGATAGCAAGGGCTGGGTATGGTGGGGGGGGGGGGGAGCACACTGAGTCAGCACAAAATGGCTGACATTGGATGTCCTTGGAACTCAAAAGTAAACAATGATGTCATCTTTTATACAACCGCAACTGGCAAAGTGACACTTTTGTATGGGCTCTGTGTTAACATAGCCTGAGTTAATACAGCTTGAACCGTCACAAGTTAGCCTGTGAGTCGGTCTGGAGGCCTGTGTGCCAGTTTGGGTGTGGCCTGGGGACATCAGTGTGTGCCTGGGTGCCTGCGGACACCTAACTGACTGCTAGCTTGCCTGCCACCTGTGCTGTGGATATTTTGATCACACTCTGCCACTCCCAAGACTGTCGATGAAGTTTACCTTGAATCAGAGGGTGAGCTAGCTTTGAGCTGCCTAGAACTAGCCATAGAGATTCTGGGGGACTCAGGACATATAGAGAGGCACAAGAGGTAGTAGGGAGGAGCTTAGGAAGATTCAAGGGCCCTTTTGGATCGAGGAAGGGGAGAGAGAGAGGAGGTCACTGGTCAGTTCACCACCGCTTCTCTGATCAATTGGTTTTTACCCTGATATCTGACTCTCGAGTTTTATTTAATAATTGCTTCACACCTGTGTACTGGCGAATGAAGTCTCTCATCTGCCCTCCGCTCTTCACAGTCTCTCCCCCCACAGCCTCCCGCCACCCTCAGCCTTCCCTGGCATCAGAAGGCAGTTCTCACACCACAATCACTCCTGTTTGGCTCCAGAATAAGCTATGTCACCCTTTGAGGTAAAGATTGTTTGTACATTGATATGGCATTGGATGGCGTCCCCACCTCCATAATGGTGAGAGACAATGACCCTCACTCCACAGTAAGAGCACTGGACACTTGGCCCTACAGATTACTGCTTTGCATGGCTGGGCATCTGATTGAATGCAAAGCAATTCTGATTGAATTGAAGCCTGAATACAAGCAAGCCCCTTCCTCTCCTCCCTCTCCTTATCCTACATCATCTGTCTGTTACTTCCATCATCTTTCTTCAAACAAAAGCCATGTGTGGGTCATGTCTACATTTTACAACCTACTTATTTTAAAGCTCATCAGATGAGTGGCCTTGCATGCAAGCTTGGCTGCGAGCAATGTTCTGTTCTAAATTTCCAGTGTGTGGCGGGGTTAGTGAGACTAGCAGGCATTGACGGGGCTCTGGCCTCTAGAGTCTCGTGTGTTTGCTCTCTGGTAGCGAGACCGATGCTGCCTTGAGGCACCTTTGTAAACAAAACCTGTAGAAGTTATTTGTTACAGTAATGCCCAGCCCCTTCCCTGAGCACCTTGATGACATCCTCTCACCGTGAGCTGCGGAGAACCCACTAGAAACTTGCCTATTCTTATTCACGTTCTGAGTCCATCATGTCCCCCCTCTGCTCATCCCCCAGCATCACGTATCACAACACACAACACAGTTGTTGGTGACTTCATTTTAGCGCAATTAGTCCTTGAAGATGATCAGCTCTCAGACCGGAAGCTGGTAATGAGATGTATGGTAACTCTTTATGGATGAGAAAACCCAAGAATAAAGACTTGAAAAATACATCCCAAAACACATGACTGGTAATTTGCAAACCCAGGGTTCTACTAGGGTATTTGTTTGTTTGTTTGTGGACTCTAGAGGATGGTGACTCAGTTAACCATTAAGTCACCCAGCCCACATCTAAGCCAAGTAGGACACTGGATGGCTTTCTCTACCATGTTCATTTGTTTTCGCCTGTAGTGGAAATAGCAACAGGGTCATGGAGCTGTAGAGGTCACGCAGAGAGTAAAACACTTATGACTCCTTCAGAGAACTCAGATTCCCAGGACCTATGTCAGGCTGCTCACAGCCGCCTGGAACTCCAGCTCCAGGGGATCGAATGCCCTCGGGCCTTCAGGGGCACCTAATGCACTCAGTGGACATAGATGTGCATAGAGACACATTTTAAACACACAGGGAAATCCTTTAAAAAAAGAACAGTAAGTTTCAACAAGCTGATTGAAGATAGACAGACTGACGGAAAAGGACATTCCACCACACTCTTTTCCAGACAGCCACTTCTTTCAGCATTTTTACTTCCGAGGACTTATTCTAAGAAAGTCATGTAAACAAATAAAAAGAACATGGAGAGGTGTTAATAATAAAGAACACTAGCAACAATCCTTACAGAAGCACCACTGGGGGACAGTAAATTGGAATCAAGTGATGTAAATGTCACAACTGGGACATCTGTTAAATAAATCATGCCTGGGTCAAATAGAAGAAAGATCTAGAATGCCAGCTCCATGCAAACCAGAGGCAGGATCTTATTGCTTCATTTTCGGCACTGGAAATGGCACCTGGGACATGGCAGCTCTGTGGAGTGGGAGAATAACGTGAGCCAAGTAATAGGAAATGCCTGCATATTACCTTAAGAGAAGAAGATGTAATCCTGACTCTGGAGAGATGGCTCGGGGTTTAAAAGCACTGGCTGCTCTCCCAAAGGACCTGAGTTCAATTCCTGGCACCTACAGCCCAGGGGATCCAATACCCTCCTCTGGCATGGCGAAGATGGGGCCTGTGAGTCTGTGGGCATCCCTTGGTTTCCTTATTTAGTCACCAGGCTTAAATCATGGAGTCCCCACCCTAATGGCCTTCATTGTAGCCTCCTCCCTGAAGCCCATCTCAAAACAGCATAGTAAGGGCTGGAGAGACAGCTCAGTGGTTAAGAGTATTGCCTGCTCTTCCAAAGATCCTGAGTTCAATTCCCGGAAACCACATGGTGGCTCACAACCATCTGTAATGAGGTCTGGTGCCCTCTTCTGGCCTGCAGACATACACACAGACAGAATATTGTATACATAATAAATAAATAAAAATAAGTAAATAAAAAAACAGCATAGTAAGTTAAGTTTCCACACACATAACACCTTACATGGGAATTAAATGTCAACACAGGAAACCTTAGCTGGGGGGGGCACTCAAACCATGTCCAAACCATAGAAATACACTGTCATCTCCACTGTGAAAAAAAAATTAAGTTGTCTTTTTCCAGAAAACCTGTATTGAATCTTTTTTCAAAGATTTTATTTATTTACTATATACAGTGTTCTGCCTGCATGTGTGCCACCAGAGGAGGGCGCCAGATCTCATTAAGGATGGTTGCCAGCCACCATGTGGTTGCTGGGAACTGAACTCAAGACCTCTGGCAGAGCAGTCAGTGCTCTTACCTCTGAGCCATCTCTCTAGCCCCTATCTCGAGTCTTTTTTAAAATTTATTTTAAAATGTTTTCATACAATATGTTTTGGTCATACTCATTTCTCTCCCCCAACTTCTCTCAGATCCTCTGTCCCTACCAATCCCACTTCATATTCTCTCTCAAAAAAGCTAACACAAAATAAAAAAAAAGCACAATACACACACAAACAGAAACAAAACGGAAAGGGCCCCATTTGTGCTGGTCCACTACTACTGAGTGGGTGGCCTGTCCTGGTGTGGTTGGTACCCAGGGTCACTCCACTGGAGAGAACATTGATTTTCCTGCTCTCAGCAGCTATCAGTTGCAAATGGTTTCTTGATTAGGGGTGGGGCTTTGAGCCCACTTCCCCTTCACAGTGCTGGGACATTATATTGTTGTTTGGTGTGTGTGTGTGTGTGTGTGTGTGTGTGTGTTAGAATGAAGAATATACACCTAAATCATAACAGAAGAACTCTCCAGCAAAGATAAAAATGAAGACTTTGTGATAGTTGTCATTTCTGAGACAAAGGCTCACTCTGTAGCCCAGGTGGTATGGAACCACGTAGCCCAAGTTAGCCTTGAACTCATGGAAATCCTCCTGACTCAGACTCCCAAAAGCTGGGATTACAGTTCCAAGCCTGCGT